TTATAAACGAAATGGATAATTAAAATCTTCGTCTTCTTCTTATCATTATAATACTATGTAGTGTACATCGAGGATAATTCGTTATCTGTCACACATATCGGCATAAACAACGCTCCTTACTCTTATCGCCAAGGGTCACTCAAGGTAGAGGTCTACTAAAGACCTCTACCTTGAGTGACCCCTGGGCCTTGTATAGAGTCAATACTAGTAAATAATCAGTTAATTTTGTTAACCATTGCTCAACGTAAGTTCCCAAATTATAATGTAGTTTAGTAGGACAAAATCTCTGTGATTATTATTGAGAATCAAATCCACTGATAGACGAACTTGCTAAACACTTTCTATGGTCATCGCAAATCACTTCTTTCCTCATTTGAAATGCTTTTCGAGTCTTAACTTATGAATTAACAATTCATATGTATTAAACATACAGTCGTCCTATTATGTCCATAATGCTTTAACTAGTTTCTGATAATTGCTGATAATTCTTTTTGTCTTAAATTACAATTCCTTTCTATAGTAAATACCATGAACAATGAATTTGTATAACGACCATATTTTGCCCGTAATGCTTAAATTAATTCCCGACAATTAATCGTTTTATTTGGGATGCTGAATTCTTTTCTATAATAAATCATTAATAATGCATTTCCATTACATTATTAATGTACTATACTGACAGTAATAACTGCTTTAATTTCCTGTCCATTGACATTGTCCTTATGATTTTTCCATGATATTCTATAGAAGTGTTATATAGGAATAAAGTGTGACTGCCAACACTTGAGTTTGAACATAGATCGCCAGTGCAAACAAAGGTGATCCCATTATTGAATTAAGTAGACCACGTGACCGTAGAGGAAACGCAGATATGGAAGGTAGCGTGAGGTCTAGTGGATCGTTATTTCTATTCTATTACAATTCGGATCACTATTTCTAGTCTATCCTCTATTGTTATACGGACCGCTATTCTCTACTCTATTCACTATAGTACTCTCTAATACGTTAGTTACATGTCGAGCGAGTATTATCGAGCAAGTACTATTAGTGCGAGTGATATTCGAAGGCGTCTGACACCAGCATTGTTCAACGGCGTTACTATAGTTGTATCTGCGATTACAAAGTCTCTACTACAACGAGTATTTATTGACATTACAAAAGTGGCAACGAGTGTTCGCTGACATATATATATATACATATAATAACTCGATTTTATCAGTAACTAGCAGTATAACCTGTCCTTGGTCAGGTCTTGCGTGACTGTGAATTTTTACCGTTCAATTGGAGCAGTTTAAGTTTAAAGCCAGCCCACCCGAAAATCAATATTATTAACAACAATTGGGTGCAACTGAGTCACATCCCCAAATGGGGGCGGGTTAAGAATTTGAATGGGGTGGGCTGAAAAGGGCCGTTTTTTTTTCCTTCTCAATCTTGTTTCAGCCTCACACAGAGCAGCAGTTGAAGAGGCATTTCTCCGCAGCCGTTGAGTCCTTTGATCATCATTTTCAGCCTCGCGCGCAGAAGCATTCAGCTATGCTCTTCTGGTAAGCCAATGGCTACGTTGATCCTCGAACTCAGTAGCTCTGATTGAAACATCCGAGAGGCATTTTGAGACAGGCAAACTGAACATTCTAAAGACGATTCGTTATCTCTTATTCGCATGGCGGACCTGGCGCCAGAGGTTTTGCGACCTAGGCAAGTTCTTTTCTTTGGTGGCATGTCTTAGGCAAGTATGAATTGTCAAATGGAATGCGTCGGCAAATACCAGAAGAGAACGCTGTAAAGCTACAAGGATCACTAAGCTCGAATAACTTTAGGAAAGGTTGGGAAAATAAATGTTGAGTAGTAAAAAAGCAAGCTTGCTTATTACTATGGTGAATGCAATGCAAAAATGGAGAGGACAATAAAAAAAATTAAATTGGGAACAGCAATAAACGACAATGAAAGCAACACCTTAAGACTGTAATAGTAGGCTTTATGCAACAGAAAAGGGAATCTCACTTGAGGGAGATTGATCGCTTGGCCACAGAAGGGGAATGTGTAATTTGGACTCAAAACCGGCACTGAAGAATTATCTATCAAACAAGAAAAAAAAAAAAAAAAAAAAATTAATCGAAACTGGATGAAAACTGTGAAAACGCGTCAACAATATCCAATCACACACACACACACACAAACACACATTTTGAGAATTATAGATATAGATAATATTATTGTAATAATTTAAAGTATTTATTTTTATTAAAGTTTTTATGAAAGATATATATCCAAGAACAGATAGTAAAACGTTGCTGAGAGTTATAATGGACAGGAAGTAGTGGAGAGCCATTGTCGCCAAAAATTTGAACTCAAAACCAGCACTGAAGAATTATCTATCAAACAAAAAAATTCATCGAACCTGATGAAAACTGTGGAAACGCATAAACATCCGACCACACACACATACATACACGCACACACATACACACACACATGCGCACACACACACATGCACACACACGCACATTTTGAGAGTTATAGATATATAAGATTCTTGCTTTAATTACTCAAAACTGACAATTATCTTACTGATGTTCAGTGACAATATATAGAGTTCATTTTTAAATTCCCACGTTTCCACAATACGTAGGCGACCATGGTTGACTTATTATTATTATTATTATTATTATTATTTGTAAATTTCTATACCTACTGAGGAAATATTGGGGCAATAGAAAATACAAGAGTTGCCTAAAGAAACAAATTTTTATTTAAACATTTTAACATATTTATTCGTCTGTTAAGTTATTTTTCATTTTCAACTGAGCTATAAAATCAGGAGTTTCAACAAAGATCTTCATAGCCACCTTGTAAATAGACGAAAGCTTTAAAAAGTATAAAGAGTTGACTGAATTCCGATACGCTTCATTTCATTAAGAAAAAAAGGGGGGCGTCGATAGTCCCGTGCAGGCGCGAACAAGTCGTGAGTCCGATTGTACGTACATCATTACGGAAGTCTTTGTTGAACATTAAGCCGGTTGCTTTTCGTCAATAGCCAGGTGACGAGCGCTTCAGTTATACCATGTGTAGACATAAAATCGAGCTAATGGACATGGTGATTTTATAAGTGTATATTAGATATGGCACAAGGCCGAAAATATGTGGCACCCCGTGAAGATCGAATTCACTACTCAGTCGCAATTGTTCTAGCGGGATAAGCGTGCTAACCATTACACCACGATGAGGCCGCTCAAACCGTGTTAATAAATATATACCGACAAAAAAATTGATTTTTCATTCAGAAAAAATAATTGCTCATTAACTTAACATATTTATTCGTCTGTTAAGTTATTTTTCATTTTCAACTGAACTATAAAAGCAGGGGTTTCAATAAAGATCTCCATGGTCACCTTGTAAATAGACGAAAGCTTTAAAAAGTATAAAGAGTTGACTGAATGCTGCGCATATAGTCCCTGGTATCAGTGGCAGAATTTATGAAACAAAATATGTAAAAACTTTTATTTATGAAGATGGATGAAAACTATGAAATGAAAAGTTCTCGGTCTAACTAAGTAGTGAAGAAAAAGACAAAAAAAAAAAAAAAAAAACATCTGAGACGAGGTATTTAATTATTTACATTTGCTGTCCTCATCTTTATTGTCATAATTACGACGTTTCGGCCGTTATACGCTCCAACCTTCTTCAGGTGATATAAGTTGGAATTTAGAACCGAACCCTTTATTTAGTCCACGCGGGTAGATTTTTCTAGTTCCATGTGCCATGCCTTTTCTGGATATTTCAGTTTTCAGTTAATTCCCTTTAGTAACTCCACCCTCCAAGTTTTTTTGTTCATCACTGCTGTGGTCAGGTATTGAACGCACAACTCTTTGGGTCAAGTCACTTTTTTGGATTATTTCAACCAACGCTTTTATGCATTGACCCAGTGGATAAAAGCGTTGGCTGAAAGTAAGTACAACAGCTCAAACGTCGTGTATATGACAATAAAGATAAGGACAACAGTTCGAATAATGTAAATAGTTAAAAATCTCGTCTCAGAAATATAGACAGATCCTGATGAAGGCCAGAGTCTACAACGGCTGAAACGCCGTGAATATGGCAATAAAATATGAGGACAACAGCTAAAATACTGTAAATAGTGTAAATAGTTACAACACCGCATCTCAGAAATATAGACAGCTACTGAAGAAGTACGGAGCGTACAACGGCCGAAACGTCGTGAATATGGCAATAAAGATGAGGACATCAGTCGGTTTAATGTAAATAGTTACAACACCTCGTCTCAGAAATATAGACAGATCCTGAAGAAGGCTGGAGTGTACAACGGCCGAAATGTCGAGAATAGGACAATAAAGATGAGGAGAACAGTTCGAATAATGTAAATAGTGTAAATAGTTACAATACCTCGTTTCAGAAATACAGACAAACCCTGAAGAAGTCCGGAGCATAAAACGGCTGAAACGTCGTGAATATGACAATATAGATGAAGACAACGATTCGAATAATGTAAATATTGTAAATACTTAGGAGAACGTGGTGAAAAGAGAGAGAGAGAGAGAGAGAGAGAGAGAGAGAGAGAGAGAGAGAGAGAGAGAGAAACAAGTAGTGAAGAAAAAAGAAGAGTAAGAAAAGAGTAACAAAGAAAAAGCCGAAAAGTGAGATAAAAAAGAAAAAAGGAGTGTGTGCTCGTAGTGTAGCGGTTATCGGCCCATAAAAGTTGAATCGGTGCGAGGATATCAAATTGCGACCGATTTCACTGCGTTCACTTTCGCACAAATGCCCTTGGCAAAGGTATGAACTGTTCTCTTCTCCCTCTTGGTATGGGTTAAATAGCAGGGAAAACTGAGCTTTGGTTAGCACTCACTCTAGAACAACTTTGAACTCAAAGTCAGTTGTGCGTGACGTTGATAACTCCACCCTGTAAAATCCTACAAGCTAGGGAAAGCACAGTAGTATACTGAGGTTGCCGCCCTATTCTCAAATGGGGTGGGGGGCTGCAGGCTTTAAGGAGGTAGGTGGAAAGAAAAGAGAAAGTGAAAGTAAAGGAGAGTAAGAATCAAGTAGTGAAGAAAAAAATGAAATAGTGAAAGAAAGAAAGAAAGAAAGAAAGAAAGAAAGAAAGAAAAGAAAAAGAAAGAAAAAGGTGTAAGGAAAGGAAAAAAAAGCTTAAAAAGAAAGGAAAGAAAGGAAAGAAAGAAAGAAAAGAAAGAAAGGAAAAAAAAAAAGTGTAAAAGGAAGAAGAAAAAGAAAGAAAGAAAGAAAAAAAAGAAGAAAGAAAGAAAGAAAGAAAGAAAGAAAAAACGTAGCAAGCGATTTCTATACTTTATAAGTTAGTCAGGGCGTCCATAATTTAATGCAGTGAGATCGAACTTCGAATTATTGACATCTTGTGTTATATATATATATATACAGATAAAATAGCGAAAGGAAAAACGTAAAGAAAGTAACGCTTGAAAAGGTAACGAAAGAGCGAGAGATTGAGCAAGAGAGAGAGAGACACATATAGAAAGAAAAAAAGCTGTTGAAAGAGAGTAACAAGTGTAAAGAAAAAAATGATCGAGAAAACAATGGGAGAGAGAGGGGGGAGAAAGTGAGAAAAACGTAGAATAAAGAAACAGTTTATGAAAAGAGAGAGAGAGAGAGAGAGAGAGAGAGAGAGAGAGAGAGAGTATCACTAGATGTGTTCGCTTTCTTCCAAGTTCTTGTCTTCAGGTCTGATAATCTGGCAGGAAAGTTTCATTTTAATTGAGTATCATTAAGACGTATATGAAGAATAAAGAGAGCCTCTATTGTCTGCGTAAAATCACAAAAAAAAAAAAAAAAGAATAAAAAACATTACGAAAGAAAGTCGTCTGTACTCAGGTCAGGGAATTGCTTACGGCAAGATATTCTCACTAGGATAGGCGATCAATCTAAGACTACAGAACAGAAAAAAAATGTTCATATACTGAAAAATCACCAACGGCAGTAAACGGTTGATGTGCATACATGTGTGCATGTGTGTGTGTGTGTGTGTGTGTGTGTGTGTGTGTGTGTGCAAATGTGTGTAAAATCAATTGTAGAATCGAAAAAGTCAGCAAAGTCTGGTAAATTTGAAATACGGGTCTGATCAGAGACATCTCACTCGACACAAACATCAGCGTCTACCAATCTTGTGTTTGCCTGTTCGCCTGTACCCTTCGGACACACGGACACACGAACACACACACACACACACACACATATATATGAATAAATATATATATATATATATATATATATATTTATATATGAATAAATATATATTTATATATATGAATAAATATATATATATTTATTCATATATATATATATATATATGAATATATATATATATTTATTCATATATAAATATATATATTTATTCATATATATGTGTGTGTGTGTGTGTGTGTGTGTGAAAATGTATAGAAAATAGGAAAGAACTTGTTAGGTGAATAATCCAAAGTTCTTTAGTATTTTTGTTATTATTTTTAAAAAAATAGTGCTATATACAAAAGTAGAGCCTAAATATAATTATTTATTTAAAAATATGATTCCAACGTTACATAAGAGTTCTCATGTTTCAAAACAAGAGAGAAAACTTCAATATAATTATTTGAATTAAATTAAATTAAAGTACCAAGCTCTGTTCCATCTTCGAGCGAAATTTTTTTTGGAATAACTAATTCTTGAATTTTTTTAAAAATAAATAATTATATATATATATATATATATATATATATATACATACACACACACACACATATGTATGAATGAATAAAGAGACAAGAGGGAAAAATATTCTTAGCCGACATGTTTCGACCTCTCAGGGACTTTATCACTTTATCAAGTTAGTGTTGGATTTATTTTGTTGCACGTGTTTATATACAAAAGCGAGGGCGTCATTGGTTCATCAAGGCTTTTAAATTCGAGAACGTTCCTGAAAGTTCATCAGTTGGTTGAAAGATCTGTCAAAACATATGAAGGACACAAAGTATCATAATTCAAACTCGGGCAAAAGTAAGCGAGTAATATTCAAGAAATTTTTTTTTAATGAATATTGATTAAATTGTTTTGCTATGAGATGGATGTATATGCTGTACGTCTTCAAAAACACGGCGATGTATATAATCGTTTTCTTTTGATTTTTACAACACATTTGTGGTCGTGTATGTTGGCTGAGGAAAGTAGTAATTCTTTCAAGAAAGGTGAAAATGGGGAAAAAACAGGGCTGCATATTTATATTTTGATAAGATTCGATAGCGGCACTCTCAAGGATTTTCCTCCTGAATAAATTATTTTCTTTTTTTCTGAGGGTGACATTTTTTAGATCAAAATTGTGGTTGTATTTATTTCTGTGTAAGACTAGTGCATTTGATAAATTTTTATGTATAAGGTCTTTTTTGTGTTTATTTACAGGTTGTTTTTTTTTTTGGTTTTTTTCATTTTTTTTTTAAATTTCTGCATGTTTCCCCAATGTATTGTGAGGAACAGTTTTGGTAATTGATTTAATCTAGCGATTTTCCAAGCATAGATCAGATGTGGCACAAGGCCGAAAGTATAGGGCACCCAGTGAGGATCGAACTCACTACTCAGTCGTAATTGTCCTAGCGAAACAAGCTTGCTAATCATTACACCACCTCGAGATGCCCAATTGATTTAATATATGTCTCCTTCTGAATTATTATTGTTATGGCCATATCCATAATTGTTTTGGGAAATGGTTTAAGTTTGATTCATTTTAGAAGAGACTAGATGATTTTCTTGCTTCCGAGCAATATTGAAAATGAGGATTTGCCTTCAATTCGATAGAAAAAAAGCTGGGAAAATATATTAACAAGCTTTCGACATGACCTTAGAATTATAAAGAAATAATACAGAATAAATATAAACGGATGTCACTAATTCTCTTTCTTCAGTTTAAGGGAAAAGCATACACAGAAATACATATAAACACGTTTCTTTCTTTCGTTTTTGGATCTGATGTACCCTTGAATGTCGAAACGCGTAATCAAATCTGTTTTCAATGAAACGCTTTCCATTTGTCATAAAATAGACGATTTAATTGTTTTGTTTTTTTGTTTCTTTTTCTTTTTCCTCAAAAAAGAAGTATTTTGCTTTTGAATTAGTTTACCGTCACCCGAGTAGATACATTTGTAATGTCGAAACATAATTGCCATTGTGTAGCGATTTTTAATATGTTTTTCTTTTAACATCCAAAAATAAATAATTATATATATATATATATATATATATATATATACGATGGACGTTCCGACGACCACGAACTAATTATCTGCATGCCTATAACGGGCATGACTTTTGCGACCGACTCGAGAATTAAACAAAAGACCACAAATAGCAGAGGAGAATGTATTGTACCCAAGTGCAGCGGGAAAACTGTTAGATGTCTTATTTTACTTTAGTGTTTCACGTAGTCGACTGATGCTTATTCCTTAATGCATTATTCCTGAATGGCAGCTAGAACGAGATATATATATATATATATATATATATATATATATATATATATATATATATATATATATATATATATATTACGCTTTTATAAATTGCAGCATTCGTGTTCTGCATGAATTGTAACGATAACTACTGTTAAATGGAACAGAACCGTTAGCAACAAGCTTTTATAAATACATCGCTGTGTATATTTATGATTTATCACTTGACTGTGTCATTCTAAGTGAATATTGATTGTAGCAGGGGCTTGCTTGGTGGGTACATTTGCGTTTCTACCACCGACGCCAATGGTGTGAGTTCGAGCCTTGGTAAAAGCCAGGACTTCGAAGACGGATTTTGAACGCGGGCTGGAAGATATGCTGCGCCCCTCTGGAAGGTTGACTCAGCGCACTCTTAATTCAGCAGTTTCTCTTCCGTTCATATTTTATCGTACTTAATGGGAGCTTAGCAAATAAGATTGCTTAACAAGATATAAAATATGAACATAGATAGATAGATAGATAGATAGATAGATAGATATGAACAGACTGTGATAGATTGATAGATGTGAACAGACTGTGATAGACAGATTGATAGATATGAACAGACTAAAATAAATAGATAGATAGAGAGATAGATAGACGTGAACTGACTGAGATAGGTATAAAGAAAGAAAGAAAGAAAGAAAGAAGAGAGAGAAATATGAAAATATCTAGACATATATAAGCAAACTGGGATAGATAGATAGATAGATATGAACAGACCATGATAGACAGATTGATAGATATGAACAGACCATGATAGACAGATTGATAGATATGAACAGACAAAAATAGATAGATAGATGTGAACTGACTGAGATAGGTAGAAAGAAAGAAGAGAGAGAAATATGAACATATCTAGACAGATATAAGCAAACTATGATAGATAGATAGATAGATAGATAGATAGATAGATAGATAGATAGATATGAACAGACCGTGATAGATTGATAGATGTGAACAGACTGTGATAGAAAGATTGATATATGTGAACTGACTGAGATAGGTAGAAAAGAAAGAAAAAAAGAAAAAAGAGAGAGAAATATGAACATATTTAGACAGATATAAGCAAACTGGGATAGATAGATAGATAGATAGATAGATAGATAGATAGATAGATAGATAGACTGAGATATACTGACTATACGAGTGTATGTGTTTATATGAGAGTGGTGCGGTAGAATTAAGAGGAGGAAGAGAATGAGAAAAAAGGTAGAAAGAAAAGATAGAACTCCGCGTCTTCAAACTTTGCCAAAGTGTTTTTGAGACACTCGATGGTCAATTGTGATTTGACTTTCGGCCATTTTGATTCTGGCAGCATCATCCAATATCCTATATGATTAGTCAGTCAATTCAGTGGCCCAAGTTTAGTCACTGGACAATAATTTGGCCGGAGGACAAATAAAACCTAATTACGAATACATTCGAAGTAACTTGCTGACGCATGCTCAGTGAGATGAACGTACGAAATGTGCCAACCGCTAGAAATATTTATGTTTTAAGGAACTAGGGAAAAAAGTGTTTATAAATAAATAAATTTTACTTGGAAGCCAAGAAAACGGTGAGTAACTGTTATGTAATATCAGTTCTAGTCTATGGCAGTGAATGCTAGGCAATCTCTTCACAGAACAGGAAGAAACGTCAAACCAGAGAAATATGATTCTACAGAAGGATGATGATAATACCATAGAGTATGTAAGCAAAGAGGAAGCTTTAAAGAAAAGGAAAACAAAAAATACACTTATACTTAGAATGAGAAAGACACTGTCAAAATTCTTAGGACGCATAATGAAAAAAAGAGTGCTTAGAGAATTTGACACTCACAGGTCATATTAAAGTCACGAAGGACAAAAAAAGATAAACCCGTAAGCTACGTAATGTGCCTGTTGCCAGAGCAGGGATTAGGATGGACAGCAAAAAAACAAAACTTACTCATAGCTACAAAAGGCAGGAAGTTGTGGAGAGCATTGTTCGCCAACACCCTGAAGGGACATGGCACATAGAAAAAAAAGACGAATATAAATTGAGATGAATTATCACTAATAACTATAAAATGACAAGGTAAGGAGCATCTCTTTCTTTTGTAGTGGCTAACAGGCTCTTCTCGAGGGTCTATGCCGAGTTTGTTCCCCTCTTGGTACCTCAAATTCTATCAACCTTGTGTCAAACTAAGCTATTCTTAATATATATCTATAAACTAGATTGAAGCCGCTCTATCAGGTGGCATTTAAGCTAGCTCCTGCGGATGACTCTTGATTGGGCCTTCGGCTTGTTCAGGAGTTTGAGAGTCCCTAAGTCTTTTGCATATTCTCGGCATTAGAAGCTCTCCTGACTGCCGTTTAATCTGGGTTTTTATTTGCATGGGACTTTCTTTCCCTCGCTGCAGCCCTGACTCTTTTTGTTGCAATCTGGTCCTCTGTTGGCGGAGGTTTCTTTTTGCGAGGCATACTACTGCCTTAAGCGATAAGCAACAATAAACTACATAACTGAAAATTGATCGCTGCATTTAAGTATTACATTAATATTTAAGCTTAACATTTAAAAGTTCAACGATAATTCTTCTACCGCCACTTAATTTAAGGACAGTTTGATATACGTAGGTCCTTACTTTCTGTACAAACAATTATTTTTATTCCATGGGTGACTTTCGCTGGATTTCGCAGTTAATTTCGATTATTCCCAAATGTATTTCCAAGTAATAAAAAATGTACAAAAAATTCGTCGCAAAAAAAAATCAGGTGAAAAATAGCCGAAAACAATCGCAGTCATGACAACTTGGGAATGCAAAATTTCTGTAACATGAGCTATTGAAAGTTAGAGAGTTGTGTCCCTTTAATTGAAAAAGTGTGACGCACTGACATCCACCTTTATTATATAGATGACTTGGCTGGGGAAATGCTTGGATATATATATACAGTTAGTTAAACAATTTTAAAATAGGCTCTTACGAGGTTGCAATGTTTTTAACACAAGGACATTGTTCATCCAATAAGCCGAATATCCACTCAAGGTAGAGAGTAACTGATCAGACTGGGTGAGCCGACTTGAAAGTTTTCCTAACTGGGCCCCTACCTGCAAGATTATGCGCTGATTTTTAGCAAAATCTGTCAGTCTATCGCGCACATTTGGCTGTAAAGTATGTGCTCGGTATACGCTTATCAGAATGAGCGTGATGAGCAGGCATATTGGGTTTTGTGTATGTTATAGCATACCTATGAACGATAATGGGCATGTTCCCATTTACATAAATACAGTAATAAATACTGTATGTTGGTCTTCAATTGGAGATTCGTCTCCAGCTGTGCTGCTAAAACTCTCTGCCTCTGGGCAAAGAGGATTCCTAGACGAAGCTATGTCGAAGGGTAAAATCTCGTCCTGGGAAACAGCTGACTGACTTCGTTTTATACGGGTTTTTATTGGAAATTTTTGAGCGTGCATACGGGCTTGGATACCCCACATTCAATTCGGCCTTGTGCCACATCTGAACGCGTGGGCGGTTGGTAGATATCCTGCAGTTGGAGATTCATTGTCGAATTCACTACTTCTTCTACGCGCCGCTGGCGAATCTTATATGCGTCGTTCGTGTCATAAGTATTATCGTTCATTACCAACCTTCGTTTGATTATTCTATTCGGTAACCTTCCTTAGGTTACAACAGAGTTACACTGTGAGCGTGTTACTCTCTAACACAATAATAATAATTGTCAGTAGGTGCACTAAGCTGGAACAAAAATAGTACAGACGACGCCATGAAAAAGTAACAATCAGTATATATTGGAACTAAGGAAGAATTATGGACTCGATTGCGCAGAGAAGTGGCACGAGCATTCACCACTGTCAGTAGCCGAAAATGAGCAAGAGATGTGGGATGCGACTATCTTGACTGACAAGCGCTTGGAAAGCAATCGCCCTGATAATACTCTTATAGACAGGAGCATTCATGAATGATAGATGAAGCGACACCTTGGAAAAGAATATCGTGATGGCGGAGCACGTGAAAATAGAGTGGTATCAAAACCTGGCCGGGAAAATCGAAGAAATATGCCAAGTTGAAATTGCCCCTTTTGTGGTTAGGGCACTCAGGTCTGTTTCCAGGAATCTTCCTGCCTCACAGAATGTCTTGTGGATAACCTAACATTGTCAAGAGTGCATGAGCGGCAACGCTGCTTGTAACAACTCATATACGGAGAAAGTGTTCTGCTCGTAAGGAGCTGAGATACGATCATTATCGCCCGGACGAAACATCGAAAAGTCAGGTTTGGTCTGGTTTATTTTTGTTTACGGAATATCAACCTCAATGGGTTATTTAATGCCGTCAAGATTTTTAGGGTAGATTCATATGAATATAATATGTATTCTTTGTAAGAAATCAGCTTGTAGATCTGGTTTCATTGACGTATTTTTATAAAGAGGGTTTTTTGTCGAGAGTGAAATATATTGGTAGTAATTTTTTTTCAAAAATGTATTGCTGGTATTTATACTATAAAATTATACTTTCATAGTGTTTTGACCCTAGTTTGATGGTTAAATATTTGTCCATAGCTGGGACAATAACAGATGCGACCACTCCTGTTCAGGGTGGATTTCGAAACAACAAAAATATAGAGGTGCTTCCACAATACTCAAAATTGCCTTTCTGCCAGCTGTAATTTATCGTCATACCCAGGACGTCGAAAAGTCAAAGCGGATATCAAATAATAATATTAATAATAATAAAGGTCAAAGAAATTAAAAAGATTAATATAGAGACCTCTGAACTGAAATTGCCAGAATATGGAACGATCAGGCTAATATTCTTCCAGTTATTAATGGAATGTTGGGAACTATATCACCAAAATCCTACATTGAGAAAAACGAAAAAAAAACAAACCTCGAGCCTGTATTGCTTAGCACTAAATATTCTGCAAAAGGTGCTCCCTATTTAAGGTCGTAGGACTTCATGAAGAAGGATCTCCGGTTAAGAACGAAAACCGTCTGAACGAAGAGGATGATGATGATGATGATGATGATGATGATGATGATGATGATATTTGAAGATAAATAGCAGTAACAAAAAACGAATAACATTTAACTGAACAATGGCGGTACAGATGACTTTGAAGAATAAAACAGACTAAATAATCGAATGCACTTTAGCCATAAAAAATAGATATATTAAAACAGTGTGGTGCGCAAATGGTTTTATGTCAATATACAAAAGAAAGAAAGAAAGAAAGAAAGAAAGAAAAAAAGAAAGCAAGAAAGAAAGAAAGAAAGAAAGAAAGAAAGAAAGAAAGAAAGAAAGAACGGGTTCAGGTGATTTAAAAGAAAGACGGGATAAAGAAAAAGAGACAAATTAAAAGTACAGAGCGAATGAAGAGAGAAAATGAAAGGAAGGAAAACAGGAAGAAAAGAAAAGAGAAAATGAAAGAAAAAGAGAAAGAGAAAGAAAATATAATGGATAGAGGGAAGAAAATAGAAAAACGTATGGAAACGAAGGCGGGAAAAGACAGGAGAGAAAGATGAACGAATGGAGAAGCTTGTAAACAAATGAAGAATGAGTGAATGACAGAAAAAAAGGAAAGAAAAAAAAATGCATAAAAAGGGAAATAATAATAATCATAATAATAATAAAAAGTAGAAGCCGAAGAAGAAACGAAAAAGAAGAAAAAACGAAAAAGAAGCAGAAAAACGAAGAAGAAGAAGAAGAAGAAGAAGAAGAAAATCGAGCAAAAATACTGGTTAATTGAGCAATCGAAATTTTGCTCATAACAAGGAAGTGCCTACTCTTTCAGGCTATGATCAAAGCACATCGATAGCTGACATATTTATGCAAATGAGTTTCGTGCCGATCACCAATAAAAGCCTCCACGCTGCAACCGTTAAAAACAGGGGGAAATGCTAGCAATAAAATCAACAGCAAATTTGAAATCTCGCGAGAACAAAGGCAAGGACACGAGAATTGCGAACGAAACTTTGATTTTTTTTCGGCTTCATAAATTGAAACGAATCTATTGTTAATTTTATTGGTCTATCTCTCTCCCCCGATCTCTACGTCAGACGTACGCATGCGAGCACACAAAGGATTGAAAAGCTAAATTATAAGCGGGAAAACGCGAGATGTCTTGTGCATCAATTTTATAATTCTTTAAAATCATAGAATAATACAAAAAGGCAATTGTAAGGGGATTTAGCAGATGAGGAAATGATTTCAAAACTGATACAAACAAGGTAAGTGTAATTAAGCAAAAACTTACATATAATTACGAATATATCATTTGTTTTATTTCTTATTATATATATATATATATATATATATATATATATATATATATATATATATAGTATTAATAAAATATAAACTTTTTCATTTAGCTGATTGATGTTATATTCAACAGCCCGACTTCAGAGTTTCGTAGACGAACCTTTCTGAAATCGTTCAGTATAATCGTCAGGAGGTATCATATATATATATATATATATATATATATATATATATATATATATATATATAATGATAAGAATATACATATACTCACATATATTTGTACGTACATATATATATATATATATATATATATATATATATATATATATATATATATATATATATACCTTAGGTGTTATAAATACAGTGCTCAATGTTATAAAGCAGAGTGATTAAGTATATATTAGTGAATATACATAATATCCAACGTCGATAGCACGACTTGGATTTTCATGCCAATCTGCAATCTTCAAGTGATGAATATGATCTGACCGTTATGAGGTCCGCGTTCCCGTGGAGATGATTTCAAATTATGTTTTAAAGACTTGTCTGTTTAATTATTGTTGTCTAAAAATATAATTAATTATTTATAATTTAGGTAATTCAAATTGTTATGTTCAAAGACGAAGAATTAAAAAAGTAAAAATAAGAATGAAGAATTATTTTAAATAAAATTTGAAATTAAGTAAATACGTCAAGTCTCAAGGGGGATAGCTCACTTTTTTGCATAAAATACCATAGTTATGACATTTAAAGTACATTCTACTTATGAAATCCTTCAAATGCACTGGCCGATAAACGTAATTCATGGTATGTTAAAAAATAAAACAAAACATGATATCTCTTCAAGTGTGGGCATTCACAAAATAACGTTTGGAGTAGTTTTCACTCTCGCGTGATCATGTGTGACGTCACGAGCTGCTACGCGATTTTCGCTTCCGCGTCTCGTATACGTTAGTTAGTCGTCGCTTTGAAATTTTTCATGCAACAAAAACAGACTATCATTATTGTTCCGTGTATTGGTTGATATATTGAAAAGTAATTGTCATCTTTGATAATGATTTATGTAAGCCGAAAGCTTAGATTGGATTTAAACATGTATCAATATGGTGATTTCCTTTCGTCCTTCAATGATAATGTTATTAGGCTTATCAGACAATATGAAAGGAACTTACTTAAAATAAATATTATTCAATGAAACATGCATCAATGAAAATTGCTGCCTAAATATGCACAATGTATATATATATATATATATATATATATATATATATATATATATATATATATATATATATATATGTTTACACGTTATTTTTACAGATACAATTTAAGTAAATATATATATATATATATATATATATATATATAAAGTGAACATTGAAGTCAGCACTCAGAGACAACAGACTGTTTCATACTAAACACAACCATCAGGCCACATACGCTCATACGCTCTGTCTATGATATTGACCACTTTATTCCAGAAATATAGCATATCTTAAAACTATATTTCTTCATATATATATATATATATATATATATATATATTATATATATAAAATAATTTAGACATACTATGCCTGTTTATTTTCGTTTTAATCCTTTCGAACCCACGATTTGATTTCTTGGTGGCCGTAGAAAATTGATTAAGAAAAATACCAAATTTTTTTCATATAATTTTTATTTTCCCTAGTACTTTCAATCTCATTTGAGACCATCTTCAGAAAGGGTAGAATTTTTCAACTAAATCCCTTCGCAACATTAGGAAAAATGTTATGACAATGTTACGGATAAGTGATCTGTTTGTGGTTTATGAAAATAGTTGATGGCAATCACAATTATATAGAGGTATAGTACGGTTAGTTGGGCACTGTCTGTGAGAAAATCAGCACCATGATGCCATTCACTCCGCCAGAAATTTGGAAACGGTATGTTGTAGTGCATAGCATTCGCACTGGAAACTCCAATACGAGCATTTCAGTGTGTTTGGGTGTCAATCTGAGGACAGTGCCGAGGATTCGGAAACAATTTGATGATATAACCAGTCAACATCATGGTGTTAGGAGTCATCATTAGTGATGACGACGTTATGCCTCCATTCATCTTCTCACAGGACTTCAGACTCAACACGTAGTGTTACGTCAAGTACCTTGAGGAGGTAGTGCTGCCCTGGGTCAAGATGTTGGCTGCTGGAAGACCCTATATTTTACAACGGGACTCTGCTCCATGCCACTCAAGCAGGATTACCCAGTCATGGCTGCAGGACAATTTCTGCTACCACAACACTCTTTACATCTGGCCACTTAACTCTCCCATAATTATTATGTGTGGGGCACAGGTGAGCGAGAGACCAACAAAACTCCTTGTAACAACAAAGATGAACTGAAAGCAAGGATTATGCCAACATTCACAAAATTAAACAAGATGAGTGTCCAGAAGAGCAGCAGGAGATTCTGAAGTCATCTGGAGGCCATGGTTGAAGCAAATGGCGATTTTATTGAATAAATTTACTCTTTATTGTTTCAAGATATTTTTTTGTCTAATTTTGGTAAATATATCTGTTAAAATGAGATATCAGTGCCACTTTCATTTTTGCGTAATTTAGACGACAATTTATCCATAGCTATCTCCCTCCCTCTATCTATCTATCTATCTATCTATCTATCTATCTATCTATCTATCTCTCTGTCTCTCTCTCTCTCTCTCTCTCTCTCTCTCTCTATATATATATATATATATATATATATATATGTATAACAACTGAATGACATTTATCAAAATATATAAAAATTATTAGAATTTAATATTTTTATGACCAGAATAGTTGTTAAGAATGAGCTCAATAAATAATTAATGACTAAAACTCTCGAGTTGATCAATGAGATAAGTCCTTTGAACATTTACTAATTCATTTTATATATATATATATATAGGTACATCATTAAGTCTATAGCCTTATATACACGTCAATTTATCAATAGCTCTCTTCCTCCCCCCCTCCTCCCTATCTATCTATCTATCTATCTATCTATCTATCTATCTATCTATCTATCTATCTCT